AAGTGTGTTTTTGACATAAATGCTAGTCATAAAAATTAAAGAAATGTGTTAAGGCGTCATAAAAAAACTGTCAGCCGTTTGTTAATAAAACGTTGTGACGCACCATAAGTTTCGGTTTCTTCAAGGAAGCTAATTGCAGACAGCCTTCGACCTAATCTACTCCATACTCATACGAGGATAATCAGGGGAATTATGTATTTTTCTGAAATACTTTCAGTTTTCGTAAATCTAATATGTATCTACAGCAAAACCTGTCACTCGAGGCTCTATAACCGCTAGATTATTCTTGCTATAAACGTTCGCATTGACAGAGGTTAAATTTTGTTAGGTCACACAAAGCTAGCCCACACGCCCGCAGAACAAACAAATATTAAAAATTACAATATCCACGAGAGTAGACGCGAGTGCGCACTCTGACTGGTTGGCGAGAAAAATGAAAACAAATTTTATGCATTATGGACAGCACAAGCAGAGCCTTCCGCGTTACACATTCACACTCGGAACTCGCAGACACTCCTTTGGAGCACTAAATAGCCGTCCATTCTATTTTCACTTGCTACTTATTACATAATAATCTATATTTTATATTCCGATGCGTTGCATTTGTTCCGTATGTTTGCATTCAACGTTATTGAAAAATTCCTGCAAATGTTATACATGCACATACATACATACACATGCAATTGAATGCGCTTAGCCTTAAAAATGCATTGTCGCTGACATTGAATGGCTTGTCGCTTTGTTTATATATTTATGGCAAAATGTATGCTTTTATGTTTTCCGCTGTCGCTTTGCATAAGCTTTGACAGGCGGGAGTACGCTTCGGACCGAGCTGCATCGATCTACTTAAGCCATCCAGTCATTGTCACCAAAGTCACCAAAGACGTTGCTTTGCGTTGCCGCCCAGCTCAATTCAAATGCCAACAGCTGCCAGAATTACTCCTTAGAGCGTTGCATTGTTGTTCTTCCCAACGTCTTTGAAATGTAATTTAGAATTTACAACAAGCGAAGAGATGGCGGGCATGTTTGTACTTGTGATATTATTATTTACTACTCTCGCTATAATCGTTTCGTTTCATCCACCGTCACAGAACCTTGTCCAACCCCCAATACTTTTATATTGTTTGGTCTTGTGAGTCCTTGTTTATATATTTTTGGTTAATATTGAATATGCGCCGTGGTTCAGGGACGGTTGAGACTTAAAGGTATATGAAGATGACTTCACATTGGTTTCGAATAAGATTGAGTCTTTAGCTTCTTCATCTTAATTGGTTTAGGTACCGTTTGGGGATACCATATGGGTCTAGGTTCCTCTCCACCATAATTAGCGTATTCTCCTAGCTCTGCTTACACCAGCGCGTGCATTCATACAAATAATATGTAATTGGGGCTTGTAACCGCTAAAGTGATTTTCGGCCGAGCTCTTCCAGCAATTTCTGGTGTACATCTAGATGTATACACAGCGTACTTAATACTTCCCAGGTTCACTCTGACTACCAGTGCTTCTAGAAAAATGAAGGATAACGGTCACAATACAATCAATTAAGTATTTAACTGAAATACTGTTGCTAATCGTACATGTAATATCTATAATTCAGAAGTGGAATATACCGTTACAAGCAAAAAGTAAAATACGCAATCTGATTAAGCCAAAAATTGTATCAAAAAAATTATAATAACAATAAAAAAACAACATCTGTGTCATGCAAATTTCCACGTAATGCCAATGTCAGCCACTCCATCCACAAGTGTACAACTGTTTAACAGAGAAATTAATGCCTTTTAGAGGCAATAAATTAACATAACTGATAACCACTGATAATTTCATGAAGGGTACTAAATGATGTGTAATCAGACTGCTTTATAAAGATCAAAACTTTCTATGAAAATGCTTCGTATTTGTTATATAAGAATTTTTGGCGCCTTTGTATGCAAATATGATAATTTTGATAACCAAAAAGAGGGCAAATGCTGAAAGAGAGCAATTCAGGCGGTTGTGGTGATTAGTTAGTTAGGCAACCATTGAGTGCATGGAAAATTTAGTCAGCATGTCTAATACCTTACTAAAGCATATCAACTTTTAGAAGTTTTCGTAATAAGCAAGTGGCTCCGGGAGTAGATTATGTTTGTAGCATGATACAAAAAAGGAAGGTAGTTTCACTCAATAAAAAATTGCCAAAAAAAATTTTTTGGCATTATATCATTTTTTTCATTTTAACTTCAAGAAATTGTCACTTTAAAAATGTTTCATATATTTTTTATTGTATAAAGAAATACTAAGCCGCCTGAAAATAATTATATTTTCATTAGATTTCAGAAAATAGAGCGATAAGCCTCAGAATTTTTTTGAGACATTTTTCGTTTTCCTTTATTTTTTTGGTGTCATTGTAAGGTTTTGTATTTTTTGTAATATTTTTTTTTCTTTAATTTAAGAAAATTAAAAATTTACTTCTTTATGTATATAATTGTTTATTAAAACAAAAGTCAAAAAATCTTTTTATGTAAGACGGTAAAAAAATGTTGAGTGGAACTACCTTATTTTATGTATCATGGTTTGTAGTATTGAAAATTACTGAGGCTTCTACGAAACTTCTTTTGGCAAAGTAGAAACTTCTCAAATTTGATGAGAAGCACGGCCAAAACCTCTCAATACTTTTTTCACCAGACAATTACTGTTATTACAATATTATTGCAGTGCATTAAAAAACAAATCTGCGTAAACTCATTGTAAGAAAAAATATATAGAAAATACTAGCTCTACAAGTTACATATGGAGCAGCTTAACATGACTACTGACCAATATAATGCTTTATTCCGGTACTGGCGTTGTAATACCAAGCTTATGGAAGAGGGAGCCTCAGGCAAATTGGTAATTGTTTGGTAGGTTTTTTGCATATTTACCGTCATTTAGTTTTAATTGAAAGGCTTTGTGAAAGGCTTACAGCTAATTATGATAGTAAGAACTAACGTTTTCCATGGTCATTTATAAGCTTAATGTAGTTTGTCGAAATAAAGTGGGTGTCCTCATCGTAGGAGAGTTACATGTATATAATTGTTTATTGTATTTTTAAATATTTGGAGCTATCACCACTCCATACGTATAATGAAAAGAAAAAGCCTGGTTTCGGTCTGTTCCCTCACCCGTATATCGAACACAGAGCATGCAAGCGAAGATCATTTCCTGGTAGACGCAGTGGCTAAGTTGTAAACATACAGTCCTGGCCTTACCAATAACCAAATTTGAAAAATAAATTATATATGCGATCGCCTCTTGAAATTGAATATCGCCTACATCGGGTGATATGTTAATATGAAATAAACGGCTCCTGATAAAAAACTCAATAGCTGTTCGGAAGAGGTGTGGAGAAGAATTGCAATTCCTATATTCTATTTGTTGTTAAAACTTCCATCCTACAAATTTTACCACGACGAAAAATCGTTTCAAGGGTTTTATAAGTCTTAACAAGCTAAAAAATATCGACCTCTCTTCCAATTTGCAGTTGGGAATCTCGATGTTTTTCCAACAAATGGAAGGACCTAGAGTTTATACTAAGTCGTCTTCGAACGGCCGATCAACTTTTAGGAGGAGCTTTTAGTTTATGTCAAAAATAAGCTCTGAACCGCTAATAGGAAAATATATCTTAGATGTTTTGTTAGAGACTAAAGCCAACCGTCAAAAAACTAATTGGACCTCATCAGTGAGGCTTTAGACCTGGTAAGTCAACCATTGACCAGATATTCACCATGCGCCAAATTTTGGAAAACACCCGTGAAAAGAATATCGACACTTACCACCTCTTCGATAGCACGAATAGGAGCTCTTCGGACTGTTCGATACCGAATGAGGTTTCTGACAAGGCGACTCCTTATCGTATAACTTCTTTAATTTGATGCTGCTGAGAATAATAAGAACTGCAGAGCTGAATAGAGAAGGTACAATCTTTTATAAGAATGTACAGCTGCTGGCATATGCCGATGATATTGACATTATTGGCCTCAACAATCGTGCCGTTAGTTCTAAATTCTCCAGACTCCATAAAGAAGCGAGGCAAATTGCATTCGTGACACGGCTGCCACGTCACTGCTGACAGTCATAACATTGAAGTCGTAGATAACTACGCCTATCTTGGAACCAGTATTAATGCCAAAAATAATGTCAGCCTGGAAATACAACGCAGAATTACTCTTTCCAACAGGTACTACTTTGGACTGAGTAGGCAATTGAAAAGTAAAGTCCCCTCTCGGCGAACGAAAACAAAATTCTACAAGTCCCTCATGGACGATGACAACATCTGATGAGTTGGCGTTAGGGGTTTTTGAGAAAAAGGTTTTGCGTAAGATTTATGGCCCTTTGCACGTTGGCGACGGCGAACATCACAGACGATGGAACGATGAGCTGTACGAGTTATACGGCGATATTGATTTAGTTCAGTGAATCAGGAAGCAGCAGCTACCCATGCTAGGTCATATGGTCCGGATGGACACGAATACTCCAGCTTTGAAAGTTTTCGGTGCAGTATCCGGCGGTGGAAGCAGAGAAAGAGGAAGACCTACACACCTGGCTGTACTTGGTATCTCCAATTGGCCAATAAAGTAAGTCGGTAAGTAATCTTGGATGTTGGTCGAACTAAGAATGAAGACCTGGACTGCCGAATAGCAATAAGGAATGATAACCACTCGGCTATTGCGGCCGTCGGCTCAGCTTATACAACTTATTTTATGAGATCGCCAAATAAATTAAAAGTTCCCCACTACCGACGGGTTTAAGAAAGAAACCAAGACAATTTGATTTTTTCTAAAACCGCTGGCGGTTTTATGGCAGCCAATTTGGGTTTCTATTAATCATAAATATAAGTTGGAATGAAAATTCGTTCGCGATCTTAACTTATGTTCGCTGCGAACATTTTACATCATAATGTTGTTGTTTCGCACAAAAATAAAAAGAACAAAGCATCCCTGGCGTACGTGACTTTATTTTTATTTGCTTTCCAACACTGTTTGTAGCAATCAGCTGTTCGGAATTGTTTGTATGCAGTATTGCTAAATTTCTTGTAAAATGTATAAAATGCATATAACGTAATAATTTATGCTGCGTGTAGTATATTCAACAAAAGCTGAAAAATGGATGTGATTTTGCCATATAATACACGAAACAGAGACCATTTCTGTGATTGTGCGTTAAAAATTGGATTTCATGAATTTGTTGCGGTAAGTTGATTGCGTTTCGTTCATACAATTTCTAATAAGCCAAATATTTATTTCATCAGCTCAAATTTTTTTATACAATGAAAGACTCCGATTTGGATGTCTTTCAACTGATGGCACGTGAGCGTTTGGAGTTATTACTATACGGTTGGGAGGTGTGCCAAACGCATTGGGATGAGTTAACAAATAAGGACTTTGTGCCACCGTATTTACGTACCGTTGTAAAACAAATGATGCAGTATTCTTTAGATATTTGGTTTAGCAATGAATGGGAGGAGTGTAAACCACACTTCAAAGCTATGCTTATTGTTTGCATTAGACGTGCTAAAGAAATGCTAACGAAAATATATGGCAAAGATGTATTCCAATGGGATTATGTACTGCAATTGGGTATAAAACCTTGGGACAAACCATATTTAAAGCAGTTTATAGCTTGTAATAGCAATCTAGAGAGAAGTTTGAAAACGTCAAGTGAGCATGTCGAAGCGCCATTAGATGCTAAAGGTAGGTTCTTTAGATTTTTTTTCATTTCTTGCTACTTTTTAAAACTTCAACCTTTCCCAGATATTGAACATTTACAAATGGAAGGTCCAGTATTAATATTACTACGTCTTATTAAGCTATTTGACGCTGGATTTCTCGAAGGCGCTCGTAAATTGTCAATACGTACTATTGCTGCATGGAATCACACTTTTAAACAATTAAAGCAGCAAACAAAAAATGAACGCCCAGAAGTGAATATTCAGGACAAAAGAAGTTTAATACTTATTTGCCATATATATTTAATGGCTATATATGAAATGGATGACATACGTGGATTTGTCATTGATAATGTGGTATGGATTTATGTGGCAAAATAATTATATCTACGAAATATTTAAACTTTAATTTTTGCAGGTAAATAACATACGTTTTTACTATCAAAACATGATGGAAACAGAAAGTGTAAATGAAAGTCCAGAGGAGCAAAAAGAGTATACAGCAGCTCGATATATTGCCACAACCTGCATTAATCTGAATATTACTAGTAATGAGTTCATTGATGCCTTCATACATGACTCGTACGATGAAAATTTCGTCAGCCTTTTTGGTGTTGTATCACAATCATACAAGAGTTACCTACTAGGTAATTTACTAATGGAAATGAATAAGTTGAATGAGGATGATTTCAAAAAGCGCATTGAGGACTTCAAGCATATAATACATTTATATATAATTGAACGTGAGCGCAGTGAAATATTTATGTTGGGTGAATTGAATAAGGCAGAAATGAAGCGCCGTAGCCATAGCATATTCAAGACTAAGGAAAATATGACAAATTTTTGTTCAAAAATGTGTAAAGGAAATCGTTTAAGTAATATTGGCAGTAGTGAGCATACAGAGGAAGGCGAGCAGAAAGTTGCCACGTTGGAAGAGAACAGTGATCGACGTGTAGATCCAGTTTTTCAACATCTACCAAATAATGAGGAGGTACTCAATTATGTTTACGTTGTGCTGGTGAAAAGGGTAATTCATAAATATTTGTATTTTGAAAATTTTTATATTTTCAATTTTTTTTTTAATGCAGACTCATCGTGGCTGGTATTTCGGTAAGCTCATAGTCTTGCTGAAGATTATCGGATTGCAGCTGAATGCAATAGAAACCTGGCGTTATCATCCTGGTTTAACACCAGAGTTTTTGCTTAATCTCGAAGTTAAACTCTCCCGACACTTTGAAGATCTGGCCAATATATTCCATGTACATCTTTTTATGGAACAAGAGTTCTGGTTAACTGGGTTTTATCTGAATCCATGCAAAAAGTACTATGAGAGCGTTATACGAAGTGGCATGCGTTCGAATCGTCTCAGTCACCGTTTCGAAACTGGCGAAAACTATGACGATGAGGAAAGGTTTGAAACCAGAAAAGATCGGCGCGATAAGGGCGACAAAGGCGAAAAAGTGAATGCCATAAATGCCAAGTATGGACTGCTCAGCTCAACAATAGATGTAAAAGAAATATTGAAATTAGCAAATCACGAAGCACCCGATGTTGATTATGAACAATTATTTAAAGCTTTGCAAGTTTTTAAATTGCCTGATAATACGATTAAAGACTTACTCACCGTCATTTTTCTGCCACGAAATAAGAGTTTCGCTTGGTCGCTGAATTGGGTGGAATTGCGTAAGCGTTGCAAGAGTTTGCTCAGGGATGCCGAGCAAAAGCGCCGCTTCATAGAGCTAAATATGGCTGAGGCTAATGATCGACTGAAATTTTTGAAAGTTGATTATGAAAAATATAAACATCGACCACAATTGGATTACGGCAGCATCGAGCAGGGTTATGAGAATAAGAATGCGCCGAATTTCAGCAAGGACAGTAGCGATGAGAATGACGATGAGGACTCGGAGGATTTTGAGGCGGACTCGGACTTGGATGACCCAGCCAAGCATGAGCGTAAGTGAATTGATATACACCGTATTAGAACAAATTTAAAACTAATTTTAAATATAGCAAAGAAAAACGATCACTCAAAACTTTTCGACGATTACTTCATGAGTACACGGCGCACTAGAGCACGTGCAGCCGCCATGATTGCAAATGTGTTGGAGAAGGATGAATTTCCAGACGTGGAAATGAAGGAAGGCGAATCAAAAAAGTCAACTGATGGCACTGAAGAGGCGGTAAAAGTAGTTGGCAATAATACTGACACAACTACAAAAGAATCTAAGCGTGATTTTGATGAAATTCTACAAGAACGTACGGTCTTTGATAACAGTACGAATGGTTTTAATCCATTTCCGGATATATGGAGTTTGAATGGGCAAGAATTAAAAGTCGTTGAGAATAAGGTTCCACATTTAGAGACCAGTGATTTATTTAGCAAGTCAGCAAAATTGGAAATATTGAAAAAGAAAGCGAGCGAATTGCTTAATCAGCAGAAATTAAAGAGCCATGTAATTGAAGTAGCGATTAAGCAGGAGATGGAAGAAAACCAGCAGCCCAAGGGTTGGCGAGAAGATAATTCGCGAAGATGTATGTATTAAAGGGCTATAATTTATTTATTTTTAATATATTTAAAAATATTTTGACACAAATTTCAGCTTCTAAGGGCGATGGATCTAATAAGAAACAAAATCAAGAAATCAGCGATGCTGAAATGGTGAGATACCAATCAGTAGAACTTTAGTATTTCTTCCTATTTAACAACTTAATTGTTCTTTTGTTTCTTTTCATTTAATTTTGCCTTGAGCTCTTAAAATAAAAAAAAAATAACTCAATATTTTCTGATTTCAATATTCTTGCAGCACGATGATGAGAGCGACGTTTCTACAACTGCACGCCGTGACAGTGACGAAATAAATGATTTCAGCAAAGACGAGCAAGGTGATGATGACAAAGAGTCCAAAAGTCCCAAAAAGCCGATGCAACATGCAAAAACGTGTATAAAAGTGGAAGGCAACAGCAGTGAAGGCGATTTAGAAGCACAGGCGAGTGCCATGAAATACGAAAAATTGCTAGAAATGTTTACACAAAAGAAATTGCGTGTACATGTACGCAGACTCCGAGTGTCTGATGTTCAAAAACTGCGACAACCAAGCGTTCGTTTGAAGCGCATCGATCTGCGAGCTGTGGCCGAACGTGTGTCCCAGCTGCGACGTGCCGAGCGGAAAGGTACAACATATTTAATATTTTTTTCACTTTCATACTAATTTGCATCTCACTTTGCAGTGTACGTGGATTCCGATGACACAACCAAATCGAGCGGCGGTAGTTCGTTTATTGGTGAGCATACCTTATTAGATACGCTCAAAAGTCGCTTATACTCCTCTGAGTCGTCAACTGATTCTGAGGATTACAAACAAAAGCGTCGTATAAACCGTCCGACACGTGGTAGACCTTCAGGCTCAGGAGTGCATGCTCACTCCCAGCGTGACGAAACGAAAAGCTTAAAGGTGACGCCACGCAGTGCAAGTGGTTTGAAATTTCGTATTTCAAGCAATGTTGCAACGACAAGTGCTTCAGCTGCTACAAGTACAAAGCCCTCTCCCTTGCCAATTATCGATTACATACAGATATCGTCCTCGTCATCATCGGATGAAATCGACCCTTACAGCCATTTGGAGCCGGTGCAAGAGGATCTTGTAATGGAAGCTGATCCACTCTATGAGGAGGAAATAGCTATATTTAGATATAGTCAATGAATTGAAAGTAGACGATAAGTATTTATGAAAAAGGGTATATGCATCAATTTCAACATTATTTTATTGTAATATAAGCTGTTTTGGCAAACAACAAACTAAGCTTCACAGTATGTCATTATAATTACTGTATGAATAATAAATTATTTACGTTTTATAATGCATGTGCAAATACTTTTTCTGAAGAGCTTCCCCGAACGGCTGATGGATCTTTAAGAGCACCTTCCCTTTCATTTTGGAAATACCCTGAAACCATATGACATTCCGTATAGTGGGACGCATTATTACCCACTCTGTCCCTTAAAACTTCTTATTCATAGGGTTTACCGTCACGGTTCTCAGGGCGGCGTTTCGCCACGCTTTCTGCTTTTTCAACAGGGAAGCGAGCACTTAAACAAAAATTAGACAATAGCGGGAAGAGGGCACCCCACGGTTATTATTGTTGAGTAGTTCCGATTACGAGCGGTCGAGGATAGTTGTTGTTGTTGTAGCGTTTCGCTCACCCCGCTTAGGGACAGGTTTTATCAATCTAAATCGACGGGATCAGACCAAAGGGAGAGGGGGGTGAGATGTGTCGGTTTATGGGGGCATGTGAAGAGGTGGTTAGTGTTGCATACGTTGGATATGCTGGGGTCGAGTCTAAATAAGTAAGAGTTTAACCTGCTACAATATCTAGACCTAAGTTGTGCCAGGGTCACGCGGGCATCTCGAGCTCATTGTCTGGTGGTGGTTTTACTCCGAGCACGCCATTCACTGGAAGGGAGTCTTTAAAGGTGCGGTAGCATCCCAGTAGGAACTGCTTGCACAGCAAAGCATTATGCTCCTTAACTCGTAGCATAGATGCTTCCCTGTGCAAGTGATGCTCCGGCGACATCAGGAGGTTTCCTGTCGCAGTCCTGAGGGCGGTGTTTTTGGCAAGCCTGTAGCTTCTTCATCTGCGTCCCGTTCGTCCCCGGCGTCCAGATCGGAGCAGCATAGTTTACGACCGGCCGGCCAATTGCTTTGTAAGTAGCCAGCAAAGTTTCTTTATCTTTACCCCAGGTGCTGCCGGCTAGCGCTTTGAGTATTTTGTTGCGGCTCTGGAGTTTTGCGGCAATTGCGGTCGTATGCGGAGTGAAGGAGTGCAGGCTGTCTAGAGTTACTCCCAATATTTTTGGGTTATTTATCGTCGGAATTTTTTCGTCATCGACCTTTACATCTAGTTCAAGCCTGTACTCCTTCGTCCAGCTGGTGAAAAGGGTAGCCGAGGATTTTGTCGGTTGGATTCGTAGTTGTCTTGCAGTGAAGAAGTGGGAGAGATCAGCGAGGTAGCCGTTTACTTTCGAGCAGAGGTCATCAATATCCTGGCCAGACGCCATTATCGTACAGTCATCGGCATACGAGGTTAGGGAAACTCCTTCTGGTGGTGGAGGGAGTTTCGATATGTAAAAATTAAACAGTAGCGGGGAGAGGACACCACCCTGCGGAACCCCCTGTTTAATTTTTCTGGGTTTAGATGTTTTACCTCGGAATATTACCGATGATTGTCGACCACTCAGGTAGCCCATGACCCACCTCTGCAACCCCGGCGGTAATGAAGATTCCTCAATGTCCGTTAGTAGCACTGAATGATTGACTGTGTCAAAGGCTTTTGACAGGTCCAGTGCTACTAGGACAGTTCGCGCGCAGGGTCGGTTTTGGTTGAGGCCATGGACTATCTGGGTGTTTATGGCGTTAAGTGCTGTGCACTTTTCGGAAGCCATGCTGATGCGCTGATGGACGCAGATGGTGAGTGAAGGTCGGGAGCAATAAGGCCTCAAGTGTCTTCGCTACTGGGGAGAGGAGAGTTATCGGCCGATAGGACTCTCCTTTGTTGGCTGGTTTCCCCGGTTTTAGTAGCGGGACCACCCTACCCATTTTCCACACGTCGGGTATCTTCAGGGTGGTCAAAGACAGATTGAGGACCCTCGCGAAAAATTCTGCTCCCGCTGGTCCAAGATGTTTCAGCATCAGCATGCTTATTCCGTCGGGGCCGATAGATTTGGAGGCTTTCGCCTTCCCGATGACCCCCTGAATCTCCTCCCTGGAGAAGTCAAGCACCGCGCTGGTGTTTGGCAGTTTGCGCATACGGCGGGTCACACGTCGTTTTGCTTTGTCTACCGAGGGATACAATGTAAAAAGACGGCTAAAATAGCTCGCACATCTCTTCGGGTCCGAGGAGGCGCGATCACCGAATGAAATTTCCACCCGGTCATCGCGTCTCGTCGGGTTAGACAGCGACTTGACTGTGGCCCAGGTGCTCCTCCCACTTTTTCCGCTTATGACTGTTTACGACTCGTCGAATCTCCGCGTTTAAATCCATGATTAGGGGATTCCCGGGATCGGAGCTTCGGAGGGTGTCGCGCCTGGTTGCTAGTACCGCCGCTTCTGTCTGAAAATTTGGGCGGATTTCCGCAATTTGGCCTGCCGGGATGAAGCGGGCGGCAGCGGTCACGACGACCCTGCGGAATGAGCGTTCACCAGCGGTGACGTCAGTTGGAGTGGGAAGAGCACTAAAGGCGTTCTCGGTAAATTCCGTGAATCCGGGCCAGTTAGCTTTTTTAAAGTTAACGAATGTCCGGTGGTCCGCGGAAACAAAGTCAGGAGGCCTGTCAATCGAGATATGTATGGGCAAGTGGTCCGATGCTAACGTCAGTATAGGTCGCCAGACTATACTATTTATCAGATCAGCACTCGCAATTGTTATGTCTGGCGAGCTTTGGCAATTACCCATAACTCTGGTGGGGGTGTTATCGTTCATTGTGCAGAATGTCGAATCGTCTATCTGTTCCGCCAGCTCCATTCCTCTACGGTCATTTGACAGGCTAGAATGCCAAAGATCGTGATGCGCGTTAAAGTCGCCCAAAACCAAACGGTTTTCACCCCTGAGTAGCGCACCTATGTCAGGGGTGTATCCAGCTGGGCAACTTGTAACTGGAGGAATGTATATATTAAATATTTCGAGCTCGACATCGCCTGACCGGATAGCTATGCCCTGACATTCTAGGGTAGTATCCCTGCGGTCGATGTCGCCATCGATGAGACGATACTGCACGGTGTTGTGCAGGATGAACGCTAAGCCCCCACCATGGTCTCGCTCGCGTGCTGAAGGCACTGCCGTGGAGGCTGAGGGGGCGGTTGGACGCTGGCAGCATGGGGCCACATAACTTGTGGTCCCTTCCCTGTGGGTCTTAAGGCCTGAGCAGGTCTTAAGAAGACTCCAGCCATTGCACTGGGTGCATCTAACCGAGGTGGATGAATGGTGGAGTCTTCTTTGACACACGCAGCAGAAGTAATCCGTCGGTCCAGGGTTGGTTTCTACACCAGCCCTGATCAGAAGGACTTGGAGCAACCCAGCTGCGAGGTGCTGCTCCGTTGACGTACTTAGACTAAGGTTACCTGTAGACCTAAACGGGGTTAGGTCGCCGAAAGGGTGACAGCCCTTGGCCGGATAAAATCCGGGTCAACTCCGGTGCGTAGAACCGGCTGCCGTGAGAGTCTGTACGCCGTCCTGTCCAGCGGTTGTTGTAGATATTGCTGGATGGTGTTTTTTAAGTCGAGTGCTTTGGTGGGGATTCAGCTTAAATAAGGTGCGTTTAGGGATGCTCCCTGTAGTAACGTCCTAATAGGAATTGCTTGCACAACAAAGCGTTATGCTCCTTAAATCAACCCGCGTGACCTTGGCACAACTTATGTCTGGCTATTGTAGCAGGTTATACTCTTACTTATCCAGATTCGACCGCAGCATATCCAACATTTGCCCTGCATGTGGAGAGTCTCCGCACGACACATCTCACACCCCTCTCCCATTGGTCCAATCATATCGAAACAGCTCGTTTCCTTTGCTTCCCAGTAGATGACCTCGGCGGCTTAGACTGATCCACCCTGTACCTAAGGGGGGTTGGCGAACCTCTATAACAACAATAATAATAACAACAACTGGCGTTTGCTTCGTTAGCGTACTTAATTTTATGTTACGTGCCGACCTAAACGGGGTTAGGTGCGTAGAACCGGCTATCTTGAGGTCATCCAACGCGAAGTCTAGGAAATGTGTTGTTTCGACGGGTTCCGACCCGTTAGATGACCTCGGAGTTTTATATTGATTGATCTATCCTAACCGCTACAACAACAACAACACGGGTTCGGACCAGAGAGAAAGTTGGTTTTAGAGGCTATGTAAGGTGTCTCATTATATGTAGAATATACGTTGGGCATGTCGAGGTCAAGTCCGTATAAGTAGGAATTAAATCGACAAGTGCGTCAGTTCTCTGTTAACATCTCCAGCTTATGGTGCGCAATGCATTAATGTTGCTTGGAACCCCATGTTAAATTTTACGAAGTCTGGAAATTTGATCTCGAAACTCTACCGATGACTGGCGATAACTCAGGTAGCTCACGGTCCACCTCTTTACACATAATAACGTTCGCTGGTAATATTGTCAGTTGAATTGCTAAAAACAGTGAAGATGTTCGCGGTAAATTCCGTGAAGATGGATCCATACATTTTTTTTCCACTTTTTTAGAAAGTCACCTTATCTATAACCTCGGTTGGCAGGGAGCGAACTGGAGGATGCTATCCAATTCTGACGAAGCTTAATTTTTTCAACGGCTAGATCTACACAACCTGACTGATATATCTTGATAGGCCCACTGTGTACACGGCTTGCACAATGTTTGTTCTCTTAACATAAACACTTTGGTGGCAGTAAAATACATAATTTTGCTTTATGTGCGCTGTTCAGGTTCACCCTTAATTTGATTTGTACTCATCGAGATGATTTGCATTAATTTCACTTTAATTGTACACCGTAAAATTGAGAGTATTGTGGAAACCTGTTCAAATTTATATACTCATACATTCGTGTGCAAATAACTATTCAGTCGAGGAAGCACATTATTTACTTACGCACTCCTTTAATGCTGAAAATATTTACCAATCGCCTACGGGCACTTACCAGCTCGAATTTGAACTCAAATAATTTATGCATTGCATATTTTTAGTTTTTCTTTTTTAGAAAATCAAATACTGTTTTTTCTTCATAAAATGTATATGTTTGTATGTATTAGTATGCATACATACGTGTATATGCCGGTGTGGAACACTAGTTGCCTTAGGCTAATTGCGTTCTAACAAGCGGCGCAAATT